GAGTGAGCACGTCCAGTGCTGCATTCATTGGTTGGAACATCTCAGTTGGTATTCCGTCAGTTCCTGGAGCCTTTTTTTTTTTTTTTCATCAATGCCTTCAGTGCAGCTTGGACTTCTTCCTTTAGTAGCATCGGTTCCTGATCATATGCTACCTCCTGAAATGGTTGAACATCGACCAATTCTTTTTGGTATAGTGACTCTTGTGTATTCCTTCCATCTTCTTTTGATGCTTCCTGAGTCGTTTAATATTTTCCCCATAGAATCCTTCAATATTGCAGCTCGAGGCTTGAATTTTTTCTTCAGTTCTTTCGGCTTGAGAAATGCCAAGCGTGTTCTTCCCTTTTGGTTTTTAATCTCCAGGTGTTTGCAAATGTCGTTATAATACTTGGCGTTTAGGCAGGGAGTTAGTTAACATGAGTAGATGTGCATAGAATGCTCTGTATGTTCTCTGAGCAATCTCAGCCTCATTCCTGACTTTAGTTACCACTTAGGCTAATGACTTCCAGATTTACATCTCCATGCCACTCTCCTGCTGAACTCCAGCCCTGTGTGGCTGATGAACGAACAACAGTTCACTCATCTATAACAGGAGGTAGATGAACTGATGGATATGCCATGGCCCTTCTAGCTCTAGAGTTAACTGACTTTTGGAGTCTGTAGGAAAGAGGGATCACTCAGGGGCAAAGACGGAGTTGAGCCAAGCCTTAAAGGATGGTAGACTTATTGTGATGGCCTTGGCTATCTGGATCAAACTGGATTTCTTTCATGGCAGCCTTTCTCTCCTTGCTGTAGACTTTCTGACTGGGCAACAGGCTAAGAGCACAGATCATCGGTATCGTTTCCCAGAGCTTTTTTCTGCTCCCAGGACCCTCCCACTCAGGACTCAGACATAGTTGAAAAATACTATATTTAGATGACAAAAGTCAGTTGAATTCATTTAGCATGGATGAAACTGGCTCACCGTCACATCACCATGACTTGACTATAGGTTACAAAATCCAGCTCCCTATGACAGCCGGCGAGTAGTCTGGGATCTAGCCCTTGCCAGTCTTTCTGGTCTCATCATTCTCCATGTGCTGCCTGACAGTCTCTGCTCCAGCCACAGTTAAATATTTGTATTCGTCACCCACATCTTACTGTCCTTGACCTCTCCTCTTTTACTCCTGTGGTGCTCGTTACCTGGAATCCCCTCCCTAAACTATCAGAGCATTAACTACATTGTATAAAAATTATATAAGGAGACTTGGTGGCACAGTGGTTAAGTGCTTGGCTGCTAACCAAAAAGTTGGCGGTTCGAAGCTACCCAGCGGCTCGGTGGGAGAAAGACCTGACAATCTGCTAAGAAAACCCTATGGGGCAATTCCTCTCTGTAACATTGGGTCATTATGAGTTGTAATTAACTCAGCAGCACCTCATAATACAACAGCATAACACAACAACATTATTTATGTAATTCTTCTCACCACCCAACTAGACTGTCCATATCATATTAATCTCCAAACCTGTGGCACCTGGCAGAGGCTTTCAGTAAATGTTTTTTTTTTGGATGCATCAGTGGCTCAGTGGCTGAATCTCCAATTGGGTGATGCATAAGCACCTCAATGCCAGCTTCACCTACTCACACACATGAACATACATACCCACCCATCCCCCACACTAGCCTAAGTATCCCACTTCTGTGTTCCCACACTGCCCCTGCTCGCCTCACCCCTTAAACGTATCATCAGATCATGTTGTTGTGAGTTGCTGTGGTGTCAGCTGCTACTCATGGTAATCTTACGTATAACAGAAAGTTGCCTGCTCCCGCGCCATCTTCATGATCGTTGGTATGTTTGAGTGCATTGTTATGGCTGTAGCTATTTCCCCTATTAGACCAGGCATCTCCTGATGTCTGAGACCGTGTCTTTGATCTCTGTATCATAGCACCTGGCACCGTACTTAGCGCATGGTAGATGCTCAGCAGTTGTTGGTTAATTGAACAAAAGAAGGGAAAAAAAGACGGAAGGAGAGAGCCAGGCTTCTGGGTGATCTCATGTAAGACTTGTTGGGTTTCTCCATTTGTAGAAGTACCTGTGTAAAATGACTTCTGATGCCTCGAATCTGAGTTTGACATTTGCATACAAGTGACTGCCCAAAATAACTAACGCAGTGACTAGCTTTACCGCTCGCTGCAGCGTGGTGTCTTGCAAAAAGCGTTAAGACTGGAGTCGTGGACTTGATTCTCTTCCCACTGTTTAGTTAGCTGTGTGATCTCTCTGGTTCTTAGTTTCCTCTTCAGAAAAATCAGTTGGATTAGATGAATTTTAAACCCCTTGAAGTCTAAAATTCTGTGATACACAGAGTGGCATTTCTGAAATTTAGAACATTACAAGTGGCAAGAATCAATGGGGCCTCAAATGAAGGGCAAGCTCTAGAATTCTCTGCTGTGAAGGACAGACAGAGCCAGAAAAGAGCGAAACACCCCAGTGTACATACCACGTTGTGCTACTGACAGGCTCTTGGAAAGTGCCAGACTCAGCGTGGAGGACCTCACAGCCTTCCTTGAGTTAGTAGGGCCAGCACCCCAAAGCCAAGGCTGATTCGTGGTCTGTTGTAGTTTCCCCTGCATCATGCGAAGGGGAGCGGAATTGGCACTCGGGGTTTGCGTTTTGATTTCCCTGGGCTGTCTCACACCACCCTGTTTAGTCCTTATATGAATAGATGTTAATATAAAAAAGTTGAGAGACTGTTACACACTTTCTAAACCCATGTCCCTTTGTTAGAAATAAAACCTAGTACTCTCCTTAAATTTTGTTTGACCGAAACAATAGGTATTTTTTGCATTCCAAATATAAGATTATAATATTAAATACATTTTTCCAGATTACTACACAGATCACTGGTAGCCTCATAGCCCTGCCCTCCTCCAGAGATGACTTATGTCCCTCTGTGGGTTGAGTCTTCAGCCCTGTTTCTCCAGCCTTCCCATGGGGCAGCTAGGTCCTCTATTATGTGTCTATTTTTCCTAATCATTAGTTGTACAGGCAGCCCCTTAATCAATAAATAAATATCTATTGAGCATCTAGCTCTTGGTATAGTTTGTTTCCACAGAGACTTTATAGCAGATTTTTCAAACTGCAATAGTATTCCATTACCTAATAGTGAAATCAGTATAGATCAACTTTTTCTTCTTTTAATAGAATAGAATATAATTGATTTGAGTAGAGTAGAATAGACTGAAGCAGGATAGAAAGAAAGAAAATCAGAATGCATCCCATCCATAAGGGTCGAGTATTACTTTGTAAAACTTTGTCTCAATCATGTGTATGTTCATGATGCCGTTGTGTGCAGTCAAGTGGATTCCGACTCATGGCATAGAACTGCCCTATAGGGTTTCCAAGGCTGTGATCTCTGCGGAAGCAGACTGCCACGTCTTTCTCCTGTGGAGCAGCTGGTGGGTTTGAACCACTGATCTCCCGGTTAGCAGCCGAGTGCTTAACGACTGTGCCACCAAGGCTCCTTTGTTTCATGGTATGAAAATACATGTCCTGTTGTAGATTGTGATATCTAAAGAGTTTGAAAAACACTGCCTTTCGGTATGTCCAGGATACAAAACTTGATCACATGAGATGGCAGATGTCAAGGAGGAGGAGTGGGAAGGGGCGGGGGAGCTGCCGGAGTCCATAATGACTTATCACCGGGGAGGGCAGTGATGTCAGAACAGAGACTCAGTGGAGAGAGTTGCAGTGAGGAGTGGGGATCACTGCCAGGGAGGAAGGGTTTGTGCGGAAGTGACAGTGGAAGTGACCATTAGGGGAGTGGGCAGTACGATTTGGTGGGGTAAGAGGTGGGAGAGGGCATTGTGGCTGGGATCACAGTGTGAACGGAACTCCTGGGATTCTTCTTCAATCACAGGCCTGCTACTGGAATGAGGCTAATCTTGGGGCCTTAGAGTTTGGGGGGATTTTGTTGTTGTTGTTATATTTCTTTATTTCCTCGATTCCAGTTTTTTCTTCTCTTTTTCTGGACCCCCCTGGCCTGATCCTCTGGTTTTCTTTTCTATTTTTCACCTCTTTGTCTTTTTATTTGGCTTTCTGGGAGAGTTCCTGCAACTTTATCATCCAACCTTATTTCTGAATTTTTCATTTCTGCCATCAGATTCGTAATCTCCGAGAGCTTTTTTGCTCTCTGAATGTCTCGTTTTCATAGCATTCTGGTGTTTCATGGATACAACATCTTCCCTTATTTCTTTGAGCATACTAACTGTATGAGGTTTTCTTCTACTTCCAACATTGTCTCTACATTCACAGAAATCCCAGGCTCTATTTCTCACGGTCCGTCATACTCAAGTCTACGTCTTCTGCCCTGCCACTATAGCCAAGCTCCTTATGGAATGTTCCTTAGCAGTGTGTGCCCCTGGTAGCCAGACTTCCTGCTTCTGAGACATCCCAGGTTGCTACTTTGTATCTGTTAAGCACTGTGTATTCTGTTTCTCAAGGAAGAAGTCTCCTATGAGGAAAGGGCCTGTGAAGGCGGGAGGTTTGCCACAGTAGAAGTGGTGGATAAGCCTGTGGATGAGGCCCTGCGGGAAGCAATGCCCAAAGTCATGAAGTATGTGGGAGGTACCAATGACAAGGGTGAGTATCCCTGAAGGGTGTGACTCTGGTCTCAAAGGCTAGCTTTGCATAGTCTCACTTTTTCAGTAGAAAGCACCAGGGAGGGGCCACAAAGCCCCTGCCCCCACCTGTTTCAGTGGCACGTGAACTTCCTGTGCTGTGCATGTAGGAGTTCATCGAAGGAAGCTCTGGGGAGACCACACTGACATCAGACCAGCCTTCCCCCTCACTTTGCATTGTCCCTGCTTAATCTTTCTGAGTTCATCTTCTCCCCCGAGTATGGAACTATATTTTCTATTGTTTTTAAAGCCTACAGTGCTTATCAAGTCTTCAGATTGGTTGGCTAGGTGAGGTGTGCCCCTAGTAAGCGAAGGCACAGGGCGAGGCCAGCATCTGATTTGAGACCTCCACACCAGGCTGGAAATCCCCGGAATCAGCCCCCTGAGAGTCAGATTCTTCGGGGGATTAAAGCTCAGTGAGCCATGAGTATGGCAGCCTCCAGGCTCTGTTATGGCCAACATTCAACATGAGGGGTCTGAGGATTCTTAGGCTGCTCCCTTTTAGACTTGGCAGTCCATGCTGGCTGCCTCCTAGATTTAAAATGATCGTCCTGAAGGTTCATGTAAGGTATGCCTGTTTGCTTATAAACCATATTTAAATATGAGCTTGACTCTTAACAAGCTGTCTAATTTGGAATACGCTGTTACCCTGGTGGCGCAGTGGTTAAGATGAGCATCTACTCGAATTTAGTGTCATGGGCGCTTGGGAAGAATAAGTTGACCCATAGAAGGTCAAGAAGAAATCCTTTCCTTCTTAACACTTTGTCATAAAATTTTAATAAAAAAAAATATATGTAGTTCCAGCAAAATGGCGCTCTAGGCAGAAGCACCACGCCGTCCCTCCACAGCAAAGATCTGAAAAACTAAGCCGAACAGAGAATACAACAATCCTGAAACCCTAAAACATCAAATGAAGAGATAAAGAACTCAGCCAAGCACCAAATGGAGTGAGAAAACTGACA